CTGAGGTCAGGAGTTCAAGACCAGCCTAGCCAACATGGCAAAACCCCATCTCTACTAAACATACAAAAAAGAAAAAAAAAAAATAGCCGTGCGCCATAGCATGCGCACGTAATCCCAGCTACTTGGGTAGCTGGGGCACAAAAATTGCATGAGCCCAGGAGGCAGAAAGCGCAGTGAGCTGAGATCATGCCACCACTATACTCCAGCCTGAATGACAGAGCAAGACCGACTCAAAAAAAAAAAAAAAAAAAAAAAAAAAAAGACGAAGCGCTGTGCGCTGTGACTCATGCCTATAATTCCAGCACTTTGGGAGGCCGAGGCAGGTGGATCACAAGGTCAAGAGATTGAGACCATCCTGGCCAACACGGTGAAACCCTGTCTCTACTAAAAATAAAAAAATTAGCTGGGCGTGATGATGTGCACCTGTAGTTCCAGCTACTTGAAAGGCTGAGGCAGGAGAGTCAATTGAACCCCGGAGGAGGTTGCAGTGAGCTGAGATTACGCCACTGCACTCCAGCCTGGCAAGATAAGGAGACTTTGTCTCAAAAAAAAAAAAAAAAAAAAAAAAGAGAGAGAGAGAGGGGCATAGGGCCTAGAATAGCTGAAACTACCTTGACAAAGAAGAAACAAGTGAAAGCAATGACTCTACCTGATATCAAGGCTTACCACATAGGTACAACATTTGATATAGTGTGGTACTGGTAAAGGAATAGACACAAACATCAAGGGAACAGAACAGAGAACCCAGAAACAGATCCACCCAAACATCCCCAATTGACTGTGCTAGAGCAACTGGAAATCCACACGCAAACAAAAAACAAGCCAATTTTAAAACCTCAAAATGAAACAAGAACTTAAATGTAAAACTATTAAATTTTTAGGAAAAAATGTAGAAAATCTTTGGGATCTAGCAACAAAGCAAGTTCTTAGACTTGCAAACACAATACATAAAAGGAAAGATCAATATATCAGATCTCATCAAAATAAAAATGTTTGCTCTGCAAAAGATCATTTCAAGAGGCTGAAAAACTATAGACTGGGGAAAATATATGCAAACCACTTTTATGACAAAGGAGTAGTATCTAGAATATATAAAGAAATCTCAAAACTAAATAGTAAAAAAAAAACTAAATCGAATTAGAAAATGGGCAAAAACATGAAAAAACATTGCACCAATGGTGATGTAAAGATGGGAAATAAACACATGAATTGATGTTCAACATTACTAGCCACCAGGCAAATGCAAATTAAAACTACAAAGAGATACAACACATCTACTGAAATGGATAAAATGAATACCACTAAATGCTGGCAAGGAGAAAGGTGATCTCATACAAGGCTACAGGGAACATAAAATAGTACAACCACTTTTTTGGCAGTTTCCTACAAAACTAAAGATGTAACTGTTACCTGAACCAACAACTGTACTCTTATACTCTTACAAAAACTCATGCACAAATGTTCATAGCCAAAACCAAGAAATAACTCAGATGTTCCTAACGGGTGAAAGGTTAACAAACTGGTACATCCACACTATGAAATATAACTGAGCAATAAAAAGGAAACAATTTTGATGAACTGACAGAGAATTTATGTTCAGTGAAAAAAGCCATCCTGTATGTTTTATTTATATAACATTCTTGAAATGACAAAATTATAAAAATGGAGACCAGATTAGTAGTTGCCAGAAGTTAAGAAAAGGTGGAGAACAGAAGTGGGTGTGGCTATAAAAAGTAACATGAAAGATCTTTGTCCTGTGGAAATATTCTGTATATTAACTGTATCAATATAAATTTCCTAGTTGTGACATTATTTGCTAGTTTATTAGATGCCACCATTTTGGGAAATTGTGTAAAGGGTTCACAATATCACTATGTGCTATTTCATACAACTGCATGTGAATCTACAATTATCTAAAAAAAGTTTTAATTTAATAAATGGATGGGCCAGGAGTGGTGGCTCATACCTGTAACTGGACACTTTTAGAGGCTGAGGCAGAAGAATCGCTTGAGCCCAGGAGTTTGAGATCAGCCTGGGAAACATGGCAAGACCTCATCTCTACAAAAAATTAAAAAATTAGCTAGGCATGGTGATACACACTTGATGTCCTAGCTACGTGAAAGGCTGAGGAGAGAGGATGGCTTGAACCTGGGAGGTCAAAGCTGCAGTGAGCCGTGACAGTGCCACTGCACTGGGTGCCAGAGGGAGACCCTATCTCAAAACAAACAAATCAAACAGACAAAAAGGAGAGAAGGCAAAGAAGTCCATCTTAACAAGCAAAAAACATTTTTGGAGCCAGGTACAGGGAAGAATAGGTTGACAGGTGAACCATCAGTAGATAGGAGGGTCTTCTCTCCAAGTTCAAGTTCAATGTTAATTGGTTTGGAAAGAATGGGACCATAAAAGAGAGGCTCAGATGACAGACCCGGATTATTAAAGTCTGTGAGAAGCATTAAGAATTCACTGTAAAAGAAGGGACCATACCTTCTTTTACAGTGAAGGCTGCAACTCCCAGGTTTGCAAACTGCTCACTGGAATGAAGTCTCTTTCCTCCATATTCCTTTTCAGAGAACTTTTTTTTTGAGATGGAGTCTCCCTCTGTCACCAGGCTGGAGTGCAGTGCGCAATCTCGGCTAACTGCAACCTCCACATCCCGGGTTCAAGCAATTCTCCTGTCTCACCCTCCCAAGTAGGTGGAACTACGGGCACGTACCACCATATCTAGCTAATGGTTGTTATTTTTAGTAGAGACAGGTTTTCACCATATTTGTCAGGATGGTCTCAATCTCTTAACCCTGTGATCCGCCTGCCTTGGCCTCCCAAAGTGCTGGGATTACAGACATAAGCCACCATGCCTGGCCTGAGAACTTTCACAACAGCAATGAAAAAACTGACAAAGTCTGTAACTTTGGCGCTTACATGCTAATGGAGAAGAAAGATAATACAATAAAAAAATATAGAGAGGCATTCTACAAAATAGCTGGCCAGTATGCCTCAAAACTGTGAAATAAAGCTTTTTTTTTTTTTTTTAAATCAAAATCAAAACTGCACCACCTACTTGTCTTATTGTATCTAAAGTGTTCTTTACTTGCTAATTGTTAATGCTATTTTACATGTAAAGCTGTAAGTATGATACTAAAACTGAATTTTTCTAAAAATAAGGTTATTTTATAGCACCAGTTTGGATGTCTCTGTGAAATTCAGCAAAATAGAACTTTATTTGTACAGTTATAATAAAATCTTAGTAAAAACAGCAAAAATATTATCATCCCTATCCTAAAGGACAGAATAGATACGAACAGAAAATGTCTTATAGTCACACAAAAATTAATGATAAAAGCAGAATTAAAATTTCAGATTCTCAATCAAGAAAGTGATTACTGTAATATTCATTTTTCCTCCCTCACACAAAGAATCTCTTTTTCTTCCTCTTACATGAACAAGGGTCCTCTCTTGAACTAGAGACTTCCACGACTGGCTAATATAAGAACCAATGCCTATCTGTTTTCACTAACATTTTAAATTTTTCATAATGCATCTCAGGAAAGTCCACAGAGCTTGAATTTGTCAGGATTACCTAAGTAGAAACGTTAACAAGTTTTCTGCATGTGAACTTCCCAATGCGGTACCAGCATTTATTTTGAGATGATGTCCTTACACCAAACTCATCATCAATGATGCCTAATAAAACACTTCATTACAAGCAACCACCCTCCTCTTACTAACAGATAAATATACCAGTTAATTAATACTTGACTCCAATTCAAGAAATATGTCCTGAATGACTGTGTCCAGTCACTGTAGAGGCACCAAAGATACATTGATGAAAATGTAGCTCTTGTTCTTGTCCAGTAAACAGACAACTATGGAAAGGTCTAAAGAACTGTAAGATGCAAATTCATTCAGGTAGCCATAGCTCCAGAAGAGCGCAAGAAGTCACCTACATCAGTATGAAGACAGTCAAACTATAAAGGGGAAGTGAGGTATGGAGACCTGAAAGATAGCAGGTATCAGCCAGCTGAGAGCGGGACAGGATGTAATAGACTGACACAAATATTTAGAGCCACTCACTTCAAAATATACAATGAAATGAAAATAAGGCAAAGAATCTCCAAGAAAATAAAGTGAAAAATGTAGGCAGAACCTGATAACTGACAAGCACTAACTGACTTTACAGTTCAGAGAAAGATAAAAGTGAAGGTGGCCATATGGAAGCTCAGAAAGAAGCTGCTTGTTGCCGGTAAAACAAAGAAAGTCATGAAATAAAGGCACTGGCACCTTCAAAAAGCGGACATGTGAATAAATTCATCATTGAAACTGTGCAACAGGCAAATAAGAATTCCAGATTTATTTCCTCCTTCACCAAGAATAAAGACAACCCTACCCCTTCCAGAGACCGGACTCAATGACAATAGGCACAGCTGGTGGGGAAGAGGTAGGAATGAAAAAATGAATGGAGAGACTAAGTGAAATTTTATTTCCTAAACGGTGAAAATTCGGGTCCTTTCCTTCCCTGCTTAGCGACCCAAATGCTGGCAGTTTACACTCTTCTCTAGACAAGGGAGCAAGATTCTTCTCTAGGAAATATGACACTGACACACCCACACACCACCCCACCCCACCCTAAAGGACCTATGGATAACTACATCTAGAGATTCACCAATGAAATGGACGGACAGTGAAGCTCACAGTTTACAAGTCCTACTACCCATGTGCAGTAATTTCCCAGTTAGCTGTGTAAGCAAGAGGATTACCGTTTTTCATATTAAACCTCATGTGACTTTTTGAAACTACATCTTTGATAAAAGTTAAAGACAATGGCAGGTTAAAGTAGCATGGAAAGGACAAAGAAGTATCTAAGCAGATGATCTGTTTTTTATCATCTTACAATGATTTTATCTATGATAAATGAGTAAAAATTGAATTTTAAAACAAATCATGCTCAATCCTAATAAAAATACATGCCAAAATAGGTACCTAAAAAGTAAAAAGTACTCAACCTGTATATCCATTAACATAGATGGCAACTCCACTAAAAATTGTAGATGAACTCCCATCCTTCTGCATAGCAGCATCTGAGCGAAACTGTTCCTCCAATTTCTGGACCTTGGCAGCCATATACCCACCCTAGAATTAAAGAAAAGGTAAACCAATCACAAAAGTTACATTTTCTCTACCTCCTTTGTTTTTGAAAAAAGAAATTTATATTTTAAAAACTAAAGAACAGATCTTATTCTGTGCCAGTGACCAGAACATAATGATGACCTCATAAACACAAACCATAAAGACAAGGTAATAAATAAAACAGGTAGGTTGGGCCAGGCGCAGTGGCTCACACTTGTAATCCCTGCACAGTGGGAGGCCGAGACATGTGGATCACCTGAGGTTAGGAGTTCAAGACCAGCCTGGTCAACATGGTGAAACCCCATCTCTACTAAAAATACAAAAATTAGCCGGGCACGGTGGCAGAGGCCTGTAATCCCAGCTACTTGGAAGGCTGAGTCAGAAATGATTGAACTCGTGAGATGGAGGTTGCAGTGAGCCAAGACTGCACCACTACATTCCAGCCTGGATGACAGAGCAAGACTCCATCTCAAAAAAGAAAAAAAAAATTTTGACAAATAAATAAAACAGGTAGGTCAAGGAAGAATTTTCCATCAAGCTTTAGTAATTTTATTACATTACAATTATAAAAGTTACTTTTAAAGAAAAAAGCTAAGTCAATAATAGTAATACCACAAAATGTTGTTCCTATGTACATAATTGAGCAAGTTACACCAAAGTTTAAACCAATTAGAAATTTGACAAGTGGTCTCAAAGCGTATTTTATTTTATTTATTTATTTAGAGATGGAGTCTTACTCTTGTCTCCAAGGCTGGAGGGCAGTGATGTGATCTCAGCTCACTGCAAAGTCCACCTCTCAGGTTCAAGTGATTCTCCTGCCTCAGGTTCAAGTGATTCTCCTGCCTCAGCTTCCCAAGTAGTTGGGATTACAGGCACCCATCACCACGCCCAGCTAATTTTTGTAATTTTAGTAGAGACAGGGTTTTACCATGTTGGCCAGGCTGGTCTCAAATCCCTGACCTCAGGTGATCTGCCCGCCTCAGCCTCCCAAAGTTCTGGGATTATAGGTGTGAGCCACTGCACCCGGCCTCAGAGCATATTTTAGACTGGCTTCCACTGTCTTCCATATACAGAGAGCTTAAGATGAATTACTTCAGACTGGGCACAGTGGCTCACACCTGCAATCCCAGGACTTTGGGAGTCAGAGGGGGGCAGATCACAAGGTCAACAGATTGACACCATCCTGGCCAACATGGTCAAATCCCATCTCTACTAAAAATATTAAAATTGTAGTGGCACGCGCCTGTAATCCCAGCTACTCAGGAGGCTGAGGCAGGAGAATCGAGTGAACCCGGGAGGCAGAGGTTGCAGTGAGCCGAGATCATGTCACTGCACTCCAGCCTAGTGACAGAGCAAAACTTCATCTCAAAAAAAAAAGAATTACTTCAGGTAAAAATGAGGCAACTGGATAAACCAGTGCAGTCCTCCCTACACATGGGTAAGAATACAATGAATGCTCCAGTGGCTAAATTCTGGATCTAATCAATCTATTTGATGGTAATAAAAATCCTAAGAGTAAAGTTTAGGGGATAAGTTTATAAACATCATTAAGGCTTTCCATACATAGTGAAAACTCAAAGATCTGGTGCCTAAAGTAATTCACAATTTAGAAAACAACTTAAACCACATTATAAACTAAAAGAAGAATGAAAAGTATCTAGACAGTTCAATATAATTATTTTTACTCTTTTAAAACACACCCATTTTTCCCAGCCATCATTTTCAGCTCGCTTCCTCCATCCACCTCGTCTCATGGTGGAGCTTCTGTATTGGGGAGGAAAAAGAATATGTCAATTTAAAAACATAATGTATTCCTAATTGACATTTTATTCCAATATCAAGAAAATGAGAAATTAAAATATATTCGAATGTCCAACTGACAAAAGTCAAGAATACAATACTAAGTAAACTTTTTCTAAAGTTCTCCGTTCTCCAGCTTTACAAGTGAAATTTGTGTATAAACACTACAGGTATTTTTAAATTGTAACTGTTAAATTTAAAACTCAATAGAAAAGGACTTCATGCATTCCTAAGCATCAGTCCTAACACTCACTTACATAAAACATCACCAAATCCAACTGCTTACTTTTCTTGTTACCATTAGCGTAAGATAATCAAACAAAACATTTCCCTTCATGAGTTGTCCTATAATGTGCCTCTTAAACTCTGTCTTTCCTGTTACATACTGGACACTTAAGAGTTCAGTCATAGTGTGATCCACATATTCTGCAAAAGTCTTATAAGATGTCAATTAAAAATAATGCAGAACAGATTATCATTGATAATAAACTATAACAGTAAATCTGTCATACTCCTTAAGGCAACGCATACTTTACTACAAAACCACCAGATGACCAAATGATGGCTCAAATTAAGTGGCAGCTGGCTTAGTGGCTAGCAAAATACAAAATACAATTCATAAATCAAAAGAGGCTAAACAAAGCCCCTTGTAAAATCAAAATATTCTAATACAAATGGCTACGTTTTGGGATATGACTACACTTATCCTTACCAAAATTAATATAACTTCTATTTAGATAATTTTCTTCTTTTTTCTTTTTGTCAGATACACACGGAAAATTTTCTTCTAGTAACTATATACATTTATATCAAATGGTTACCATATGAAGCCTTATATATTATCCAAGTCAAATCAGCTCTGATATGATCTATGAGAAATTTTTACTTTAACAATACCTTAAACCATGACACTTTACCCCACACACATTAACAGATATTTTCTCTTCTTTTTTGAGACAAGAGTTTTGCTCCATCGCCAGCGTGATCTCAACTCACAGCAACCTCTGCCTCCCAAGTTCCAGTGATTCTCCTGCTTCAGCCTCCCAAGTAGTTGGGATTACAGGTGCCCACCACCATGCCTGGCTAGACGGGGTTTTGTCATGTTGGCCAGGCTGGTTTTGAACTCCTAACCTCATGTGATCCACCTGTCTCCACCTCCCAAAGTGCTGGGATTACAGGCATGAGCCACCCAGCACAGCCAGCAGATACTTTCTCATGAATATTTTTGTTCTTAGTATGCTGCAGAATTTAATTTTTCTTTGCTGACATTTACAGTAATTATAAATTTTTATTGTCTACCCTTAAAAGATATGCAGAAATATTGTCAAAAAGTTAAGTCCCAACAGAAAGACAAGATAAATGTAACTGTTTTAGGGGCATGTGCAAAGTGCTCTGAGAAAAGGTGGCAAAATGATTATTAACCCTGAGGAGAGGTGTTTTTTTTTTTTTTTAAGTTTCATAAAGGTAGAAGCATGAATACCCCAATGTGCTCATTATCAAGTCCAGAACTGCCGTATGTTCTGTAAGAATTTCTTCTCTTTTCAGGAGGCTCACTTTGTCCAGTCCCAGCAGGCTTTAGCCCTTAAAGGAAATCTAGGAGACATGTTAACACACAGATCTGGACTACATATAAACTGAATCCATACACCTACTCTAACAAGTAAAGAGTTTAGGAGTTCTGGCCACTACACACTTAAAAACACATACTATAATTAAATGCAACTATTAAACTGTTAAATAAAAAAGTATATTTCATACTAAATGGTGGCCCAATCATTTAAGAGCTCCAATTGTTTAACGTCTATTGTATACCTACTGCATGAGGCCAGGAAGAAAATTCCTTAATGCTGTGAGTTTAATGAGGATAAAAGCATGAAACACAGTAGTAATAAAAAATATTAAAAATCCCAGGTATTAAAGGTTCTTCCCCTCAACTCCAAAATAACAAAACTATTCCAGACAAATGTTTAAAACTTGAAAAGGAAAAGGAAAGAATGAAGGACTAAAAATTTGTTTCGTCATTTCCAATAACTTGATTCATGAACAACAAACTCCTATTGATCCAGAAATCAAATAGTCAAAAATTACTGGCCAACATTCCAAAGAGGACAAAAGTGTTCAGAGATCTGCCACCTCACCCCTCCTCCCCAAACCGGACAATTTTTCCCTCTCAGAACATTTGGCAATCCTAGAAGAGTGGCTGAAAGACTCGACAAAGTTCCTGACAAACAGTGCTAGGAAAGAAAAAGTAGAGTCCAAGGGTCTTTCAAGGATATAGACTGCCACAATTGGTATTAGAACCCTACAAGTAACAAGAAATTGGAAGTAGACCAAACTTTGCAGAAACTGTATTCTGCCTTATATTATTTCAATCTCTGAAAACAGATTAAGGTGATCGTGGGTTGGGCGAGGTAGCTCACACGTGTAATCCCAGCACTTTGGGAGGCCAAGGCAGGTGGATCACCTGAGGTCAGGAGTTCGAGACCAGTCTGGCCAACATGGTGAAACCCCCGTCTCTACTAAAAATACAAAAAACTAGCCAGTGTGGTGGCTGTTTCTGCTAATTAGCAAAGATCTTTAAAAAAAAAAAGACTCTGCCAATGTCTCTGTAATCATATCCAGGGAAAAGTTCTCCACTCTAGATAACTGATTTCCTTCTTTAAATAGAACTTTCCCTAGAACAGAGGAGGGCATTTAATCAGGATACCACTACTTGACAGAAATAGCCTTCAGAAATAACACACACTCTATTTTTATCCTGTTCCAAGCAACCTCCTGAATTACAATGTGTCCTCTTGACTAAACCTACTCACTAAGAAGTGACTGCCCTGTATTGACAAACCATCCAATTATCAAGCCAGACTTGTAAACAAAAATTGCCTTCTAGTTTTCAGAGAAACTCTTGCAGACCAGGCTCCCAATCTAATTCCACAGAACTTGAGGACCTTGAGGAAAGTGATAACAGTTTCTGAAACTGTGACTGACAACCTAAAATAACCTGCCAATCTCTCCTTATCCAGCAACAATAACAGAGCAGCCAATTACTGTGTTTCAAAAATTTAGTTTAAAAATGGATGAAGGGCGAAACATGACTGCAAAGGTACTCTTATCCTTAACATTTAGGGCACACCTTCAATATACATTAGCTACTGTTACAGTAATCTACTCTGCCAGTTCACAGAGTGAAAATCAAATGAAACTACTTGGAAACCCTTTGAAAACTATAACATAGGGAACATAGTTATTTTACATTAGTTATCCATGGTCTACAAAATAATGAAAACAGTAGACTAATAGATTCAGTGATAAATGATATGGGCTCAAATCCCAGTTCTACAACTGCCTAGCAATATAATTAGGAGTGAGTCCAACAGCACTTAGCCTAACATTTCTTCACCTATAAAACAAGAAAGTTTTACCGTAGAATCTTTGTGGGGCCATGACTGGATGAAGGGTGGATGTGGTAGAGAGAAGAGAGCTGGGGGTAAAAACAGCAAGCAAGCAAGGTTCCATTCTCTAAACCCACCTTCAATTTTAGCAGCCATGCTTTTTTCCCCCCCAAAAGTTTTAGATTTAGGGTCTGAACAAGATTATTCTTGAAGAATACACACAACTACTTGAAAAAGACTGATAATAGAGAGTAATGAACTAAAAACTAAGTACAAAATTTCTTGGCTCTTTTCTGTTTTCATGTGATTCTACAAGAGAGTCACGTGGAAATTTCCCAACCCCTGAAAGGTTCACAAGCTAAATCTCACCTATAAGCTAAAACTCAAGTAATCAAATTATAAAGACCAACTAAATTACAGGCTTTCAGTGCGGCCACGCCCAGTCCCCAGTGCTAACATGCAATAACCACTAGTCAGTTAAGTTTAAGGCAAATGGGAGAGCAGCTGTGTCGATGAGGAGCCCAGGGATCCTCAATACCTACACAAAAGACTTCCTGACTCCATTCTCTCAACAGGGATGTTCAATCTCTATGAAGGGTCTCATTAAGGACGTGCTTATTTAAAGATACAACAAGATTATTTATGCATGCATTTTTTGTAACATTTATCTTTTGCTGGAGCATACTACAATCAGTTCCTCCTAAACATCATTATGCTTTCTTTACTATAGTTATTGGTGAATTTTACTATCTACCCAACAGAATGATGTTTATCACCAGGAATATTCATTTTCATGTAAAAATGATATTTCATCTATTTACAAAAGAATTACTAACATTACAAGGTTCTAAACAGTTCAACACACACTAGCAAAACTCCCACTACACATCCACAAAATGTTCAAATACATACTCATCAGTGTTAATCTGATGGTTACATATCTGTAACTCTAAAGTCTGTTGATTATTAACTAATAATGAAAGCGATTTAGAGTGACTCTTAGTCTTATTACTACAGTCGTATATAAATGTATAGGTTTATCCCATCTTCATGTAATAGCTATTTAAGAAATATTTGCTGAATGTAGTAAGAATGACATGCAAAGAATATCCAATGAATGAATGTGCACATTATAGTAGAATAACATAATTCATGAATGTGACACAAGCGCAAAGAAAGCAGCCTGTGACCACCCCATCTCTAGGCAAGGTTAAAACAAAGTTTACCTTTAGCATCCTGCCTTATCTCTGCTCAACACCTCTGTGTTTTCAGTGCCTCTTTATCTTACTTAGCTGTCAATCCTTGGCTACGGCATTTATTGACAACTAAGGAACTGGTTAATAACTGGCTTAAGGTATGAACTTCTTCACCCCCACCCAAAAAAAAAGAACTTCTTCATGACCATTCAATGAGAAAAGGACAATCTTTTCAACAAATGGTGATAGAAAAACTGGATATCACATGCCAAAGAAGTTGGACCTTTACCTCATGCCATATTAAAAGCTCAAAATGGCCGGGCGCGGTGGCTCAGGCCTGTAATCCCAGCACTTTGGGAGGCCGAGGCGGGTGGATCACGAGGTCAAGAGATCGAGACCATCCTGGTCAACATGGTGAAACCCCGTCTCTACTAAAAATACAAAAAATTAGCTGGGCATGGTGGTGCGTGCCTGTAATCCCAGCTACTCAGGAGGCTGAGGCAGGAGAATTGCCTGAACCCAGGAGGCGGAGGTTGCGGTGAGCCGAGATCGTGCCATTGCACTCCAGCCTGGGTAACAAGAGCGAAACTCCGTCTCAAAAAAAAAAAAAATAAAAGCTCAAAATATATTAAAGACATAAATAAAAGAGATAATACTATCAAACTCTAAGGAGAAAACATAAATAAAAGCTTCATGACACTGGATTTTGCAATGACTTCTTGGGGAAAATCTGAGTAGTAAAAGAAAAAACAGACAAACTGGACATCAAAATTTAAAACTTCTGTGACTCACAGGGCAAAAGAGGGTGAAAAGGCAATTCACAGAATGGGAGAAAATATCTGCAAATCATATATCTGATAAGGGGTTCATAGCAATATAAAGAACTCTTACCATAAACAGTAACAATAAACACACAATCCAATTAAGAGATAAACAAAGGCTCTGAACAGGCACTTCTCTAAAGATAGACAAATGGTCAATTAAGTACACATACACAAAATGTTCAGTGTCATTAATCACTATGGAAATGCAAATAGAAACCACAATGAGATACTACCTCACACCCATCGGAATAGCTACTATTAAAAAAAAAATGTTGATAAGAATGGGAAGAAATTGGGCCCCCTGTGCACTGTTAGTGGGAATACAAAACGGCGCAGCTGACATAGAAAACAGTAGGGCAGTTACTCAAAAAATCAGAAATTATCATGTTAATTCCACTTGTGAGTATATACCCAAAGAAGCTGAAAGCTGGGACACAAAGAGATATTTATTTATATACTATCTACTAATAAGCATTATTCACAATACCCAAAAGATGGAAGCAACCCAAGGTCCAACCACAGATGAATGGGTAAACAAAATGTGGCATATGCATACAACAAAATACTCTTCAGTCTTAAAAAGAAGGAA